CACGGTGTTAGCCAGGATGGTCTCGATCTCCTGACCTCGTGATCCACCTGCCTCGGCCTCCCAAAGTGCTGGGATTACAGGCGTGAGCCACTGCACCCGGCCAAGAGTTTCAGGATCTAAAGGACCTAACCTTGGTGACTAATGGTTCAGTTTTCCTTCTTTCCTCCTCTGGAAAAAGAACATGACCATCAAAAATATCTGTGTGCATATAATTGCTAAAAACCTTAAAAATGATTTTTCTGGATTTTGTCTCGTGGAGCCTCATGGCAGGCTCAGTCTAAATTGTAATAGAAAATTTGGAAAAGTGTAAGAGGAAAAAGCACTCTTAAAAAGAGACCTTTTAATCTTAATTTTGATCAACTTGAAATTCCTTACTAAATTAACCAATGTGATTTTTGGTAACTTTAGGGGAAAAATACTTTCTCCCCTCCCCATTAGATCCTCACTGACTCTGGCACAGGTTGAACATCTTTATCTGAAATGCTTGGTCCAGAAGTGTTTTGGATTTTTGTTTTTTTTCAGATTTTGGAATATCTGCATATACATAATGAGATATCTTGGGGATGAAACCCAAGTCTAAATACAAAATTCTTCTGTTTCATATACACCTTATACACATAGCCTGAGGTCATTTTATACATTATTTTAAAATAATTTTGTGCATGAAACAAAGTTTTGACTGAGACCACATGTCAGGTGTGGAATTTTCCACTTATGGCATCATGTCAATCCTCAAAAAGTTCTGAATTTGGGGACAATTTTGCATTTCTGGATTAGGGATGCTCAACCTGTAGTATCTATGCAGTGAGGGACTAACGCCAATGTATAACGAAACTCAGACTTTTATATGTCTTTAGAGATTCTAGCACCTTCTAGCTAAAGGGATGGCAGTAAAATGAAAATAATTCAATAAAGGTGGATTTATTTTTCTATCTAGCTAGTGCCAGATACACTGCTTGCTCCTTCCTAGGGACTGGTAATACGTTTCACTGGTAAGATTGTACCATTGTTTGTACTTACTATAAACCTATGTATTTGTTGTTGCTAATACATTACGATTTTAAGATTATGTTTTTCACTACCAATGGTTTTAATATCTCCACTTGGCATTGTTGAGGAAAAGTACGCCTGGCCACATCACCAACAAGGGAGAGACTACTGTTCTTTCAGACTGTTTTGCCTAAGGCATTGGTCTTAAAAATAAGCAAATACATAACTTTCACTATAATTATATCAATCTTGAAATGCACTGGCAATGAGCCTTCGTGAGGCCAGCTGGGTGGTAAGTAGACAAAAAGGAGGGACTTGCTAAACAGCTTGGGAGGCTAAGGGTTCTTACTGCCCCTACTCAGCCAAGGTGAACCACAAAGATGCTACGCTCAGTCCTGGGACAGACTAGTGTTCCATGTGACCTTGCTGGACATGACAGCCCATGAGGATTGAGACAGTGGACTTTGTTGCCACCCAGTCTAATAATGACATGGGTGAGCTGTCACAAGGCTGCCACACAAAAGCGTTCTGGAAAGCTGCCAATGATCTGAGATAAATTTTCCTGAGTTGTCAGAAACACCCAAAAAAGGAATCTTGAAGGATGACAACTTCAGCCCTTGGATGAATTTTTGAATGAGAATGAAAAGAAGAAGGCCTAGTTTCTGGTATCCGGTTATATGAGGAAGCAGAAAACCAAAACCACTAGACATTTTGTAAACCGGATTTCTCTTGATTAACTTATCACAAATAAGCAATTAAGCACCTCAAAGCTGTGCCATTAGGAAGAGATGTAGGAGCAATCCTGTAGTCACACGATCTCTCTCTCACTCTCTCTGTCTGGCTTGGAAATCTCTATTTTTTAACAAGTTAGGTTTATTAAGGTATAACTGACATATAGTAACATTTCTCCCTTTGAAGTGTTTGATGAGTTTTGACAAATGCACAGTCATAACCCCCTACTACAATCCAGACTTAGAGCTTTTTCCCTTAGGCTTCTTCGCAATCTCCTCCTCTCCTACTGGTCTCTGGCAAGCCCTGATCCGATCTCTGTCTCTATGTTTTGCCTTTTCCAAAATGCCATATAAATGGAATCATACAGCATGCAGCCTTTTGTTGACCTTGATTTTTTAAAGTGTTCACTGAGATGAGAATGGATTTAAAGGGAATGGGAAAGATTCGTGTTCTGCTGGTTAGTGTCTGGTATTAAACAAGCTATTGCTTATATTGAAGCAAGGTGCTACATCAGTTAAACTTCTGATCTTAGATACAAAGAAAGCACATTTCTTTAGTATTTTTAAAACATTTTTTAACACCTTCAACATTTTAAAACATTTTTAAACAAGTATTATGGTAAATTGTTTCCAAAATGAAACTTCAGGTGAGGCTGAGTGTTCTCTGGACAAGTAGAAAGTGACAAAAGATCATTTGCTTCACCAAACTTTAGCCAGGCTTGTGAAGCTTCTCCTAGGTCTAACTGTGCACTCTGCTGTACAATCTCCTTTTGGCAAAAAACCCTGCTCAGTCAGTTTAGCAAGAACCCACCATCCTTGATATCTGATCACCCTTGATATCTGATTAGGTTCCTCAGCCTCCAGGTGTGATGTCTGATCACCTGGGCCTGTCATTAGCAAGAATCCTGTTAGGTCAGCTTAGGCAGAATCTCCCTTACCCCTGATGCTTCCTCTTAGTAACTTCCCATCCACCGACACTCTCCAACCCCGCCTTGGCTATAAATTTTCACTTGCCCATACTGTATGGAGTTAAGCCCAATCTCTCTTGCCCACTGCAAGATTCCGTTGCATCCATCCCTACACTATTACCACGGTCTTAAACCAAGTGCTTCCTGCAAACCCTAGGCCAGTCCATGTGGTACGGGATGTTTTGCTAACCACTGCAGGAAGAGGAGTGCCCCCGTCCCATGCAACTGTCCCATGTTCAGAGTGGGTGCTGATACTCCCTAATCCTAAACTACGTTTCTTTAGCCCTCACATCTCCTGGGATTTCTCTTCCCTAGGGTGGCTCTCACCACCTACCTCACAGACTGGTGCTGCTTACTCTTCCGGGAGGAGGTGGTGCTGGTTGGCTGCTGCCGCATCACGTGGGCTACACCCACATTTAAGGGCTGGGCTGCTGGAAGGGTCACATGACCGGTCAATAGCGCAGGCTGCTGCATGATGGGATTGTAATGGCTTCCGTGAGCATGCGTGTTCCTGAAAGGGAGCCAGGACAACAAGGTGCCTTAGAGGTGTTCTAAAAGCAGAGCTCCTCTGTAAGATCAAGCTTCCTCCCCAGTTAAACGCTGACTGCAGTTGGTTATTTCACTAGCTGTTTCGCGGCTAAAGGGATGAGCCTGGCCATGTGTGCTCATCGAGTGGGTTTCTTCTACTCATAAGGAGTAGGAGAAACACAACTGGTTGTGAGTGAGAAAGAGGACTTTCAAGTGGGAAGAATGCCAAGTGCACCGGCTCCGAGTTTTTAAGTTCTAGGGACAGGAGATAAATATTTCCTCCAACTTTTAAAGTCCCTGAGCACGTAGGTGATTATCCTGAACAATATTTTATTTTAGAATTTACAGGCCAGGCATGGTGGCTTACGCTTGTAATCCCAGCACTCTGGGAGACCAAGGCAGGCTGATGGTTTGAGCTCAAGAGTTCGAGACCAGCCTGGGCAACATGGCAAAACCCCCTTTCTACCAGAAATAGAAAAAATTAGCCGGGCATGGTGGTGTGCACCCATGGGCCCAGCTACTTGGGAGGCAGAGGTGGCAGGATCACTTAAGCCTGGGAGGCAGAGGCCGCAGTGAGCCGAGATAGTGCCACTGCACTTCAGCCTGGGTGACAGAGCAAGACACTGTCTCAAAAAAAAAAAAAAAAAAAAAGGTTTCACCTTAATTTTATAAAAATAATTTTTAAATGAAGAAAAAGTGGAATTTACAAAGTGTCATCAATGGGTTATTTTATTCCACTCTGTGATGAAGGCAGGATATCTTAGCAATACCATTTTATTAATGAAGAAATTGTACTTTACGTGAAAAACAAACTTTGAAGCCTGGGAGCCATATGCTTCTGGTGTTAGGAAGTGTTAACGTTCTTTTGAATTACCTCAGTGGCTAGAACAATGCTCAGGCATGTAGCAGCTGATCAATTAATTACGCGCTTGCTGAATGAACAATTAGATTAACTGAAGGTTGACTAGACAAGTATAAAGTTGGTATTAAATCAAAATTAATAAGTCATGATAGAAATACTGGCAGCCCTCATCCTAAAAATGGGTTATGTTTCAAAATTCTTATAATCTGGGTTGTATGAAGCTCAAAGCCTTGTTTTCCCACAGAAATGTTAAAGGTGGTGACTGACTCACAGATTTGCCCATAAGAGCTCATTTAACACATAATAAAATTCAGAGCTAAAGGATAATTCATTTGAATTTAAAAAAATTATAAGAACCTATTGTTGCAACATGGGGAAAAGGATGAATAGGAAAAAAGAAGTAGATGAATACTTTTGTAGGGATTTTGATAGCGTCTTCTGGGCATTTACATGGATTTTAGAAACTCATTACGGCTTTTTTCTTTTTTGAGATGGAGTCTCACTCTGTTGCCCAAGCTGGAGTGCAGTGGTACGATCACAGCTCACTGCAACCTCTGCCTCCTGGGTTCAAGCGATTCTCCTGCCTCAGCCTCCTGAGTAGCTGGGATTACTGGTGTGCACTGCCATGCCTGGCTAATTTTTGTATTTTTAGTAGAGACAGAGTTTGGCCATGCTGGTCAGGCTGGTCTCAAACTCCTGACCTCAGGTGATCTGCCTGCCTCGGCTTCCCAAAGTGCTGGGGTTACAGACGTGAGCCAAGAAACTGATATTATGGCTTCTTTATTTTGTTGTAGCTCTTTCTCCCATAGACAGATGGCATTCCTTCTCCTTTGAGTCAGGCCCAGCACTGGTACCTCTGTTTCTTATAGATATTAGATACTAGATATCTATCCACAATAATAGATATTCTTTGGCTCACACAGGACATGGAGAGAGACCAGGAAGAGAGTATGCTGGCTCTGGATGTCTTCTGTGGTCAGTAGGTAAGAGACGTCAAAAAGAAAGGAAGGAGGGAGGAGGAATAAGAAATCCGTAGGAATTAGTAAGTGTATGTGTATTTCTGAAATTAGATGAGCTATAAATGCTGAAAGACAAAGGGGGGAAATAGGAATATGTTACGTGTGTGGTCTTTTAGGAGAAAAAGGGGCGAGGGAAAAAAAAACCCAGTTGGTCAGACAGCTTTCCACTTGGCTGCTCCTAATGAACTGGAGGAGGAAAGGCGATCTTGCTGAGCATGGGCCGATGTGATAGTGGGGAGGGAATATGACAGGTTTATTTAATGCCTGTCATGTACCAGGCACTGCGATGGTACATGTTAAATATAGGCCAAGTGCTTTGTATTTTATCTCAATTTAAACCTCCCAACAATCCTGTGAAGTAGGCATTACTATCCCTTTATTGAAGAAGAAACTGAGGTGCATAAAGGTTAACTTGCCCCAGGTCATGCAGAGCCAGGATTGAACTCAGCTCTATGCTGTTTGAGATGGATTCTCATTCTGTCGTCCAGGCTGGAGTGCAGTGGTGGCATGAAGGTGTTGCCAGTGGGGAAGTGAGTGGGACTGTGGGGAAGGGCCCAGATACTCTGTACTAGGCAGAAAATGAAGTGGAGGAATGGAGGAAGCTGCAGTAGGGGTCTGACTGGGGGCTTATATCACCACCTTTCTACTTTTCCCTGAGAGACCTTAATTCACAATAGCCGTGTAGGTCAGAATAAGAACTGTGGGAGGCTCCCTGGGTGATATGGAGGCTGTCAGGGGGTTGAGGGAAGTGACCTGCCCTGATATTCGTGCAGAATGAGAGATAGTCCAAAAGGGCCTTGAGGAGTTGGGGACAACTTGGAGGGCTGCCATTTGGCTCTGCACTGGTGAAGGGGGCCATTGTGGTGGTGTTGGGGGGAAGGTACAAGGGTATCTAGCCATAAAAATAACAGAGGAGTGCATCTGTGAGGAAATCATGAGTTGGACAGGGAAGAGTTCTGGAAACAGATGAAGGGGGTATGCAGTGCTGGCAGGCAGGCAGGTGGATGCCTCTCGGGTGTGTGGGAAGTAGCCTCTAATCTGTAAGATATGCCTATTAACTGAAGAGGCACACTGAGCAAATATGCCAGCATTTACCCTTCCAAATAAACCCCATTCTGTCAAACCTTCCCCTGGGAGGTCAGATAGACTCTAGAGTACCCCCATCTCAAACATCTTCAGAACACTTTCTAGAATTGCTTAGGGCTTTGGGGACCCTCTTCTGCATTCTTTCACTGGTGACAGACCTTTGTTTTCTGAATGTGGAAGTTAATTCTGAGAAACTACCAAATATCATCCAGAACCAAGTCTGGTGAATTACACTGATGATTAAATGATATAACTGAATTCTGGGTGGGAATGACAACTGAGCATAAATTAATGAAGCAGGTTTTCTTGTATCCTGGTATATTATTTAAAAATTGCTTATTGTTACACTGCACTCATAGTCCACACAATATTTTTTTTTTTTTTTTTTGAGACGGAGTCTCGCTCTGTAGCCCAGGCTGGAGTGCAGTGGCCTGATCTCAGCTCACTGCAAGCTCCGCCTCCCGGGTTCACGCGATTCTCCTGCCTCAGCCTCCCGAGTAGCTGGGACTACAGGCACCCGCCACCTCGCCCGGCTTTTTTTTTTTGTAGTTTTAGTAGAGACGGGGTTTCACTGTGTTCACCAGGATGGTCTCGATCTCCTGACCTCGTGATCCACCCGTCTCGGCCTCCCAAAGTGCTGGGATTACAGGCTTGAGCCACCGCGCCCGGCCCACACAATATTTTTAAAAGCTTTAAAAAGCTCTCTACAAACCAGAGAATTCAAGTATAGGCCGGCCTGGCAGCCCTGTGTCTGCAGTGGACATGCCTCTCATCCCAGACACACCCACTCACCCTAGAGGGGTTTCCTGCTTACCTCCAGTCCGCCAACTGCTGGGTGCCTGCCATGGTCTCAGGAATGACGGTGGCGTGCTGCACTGATGTGTGGGTGGCCACTCCAGTCAGCTGCTGCCATGCTGGGGGAAGCAAGATCTGCTGGGTCCCACTTGGCCAAGCCTGCTGTAGAACACAGGACATGTGCAATGACCATGTTTGCTAATCACATAATTGATTTGCATGAATCCGCACTTATTCTGTGCCTGTGGTTGTGCTAGACATTCTTATGGGTGTGAGAGTGAGGGCCTGGTCTCTGGCCTCAAAAACTAAAGTAAGGGAGATAAACAATGAACATATAGGCCGGGTGTGGTGGTTCATGCCTGTAATCCCAGCACTTTGGGAGGCTAAGGCGGGTGGATCACGAGGTCAGGAGATCCAGACCATCCTGGCTAACATGGTGAAACCCCGTCTCTACTAAAAATACAAAAAATTAGCTGGGCGTGGTGGCGGGCGCCTGTAGTCCCAGCTACTCGGGAGGCTAAGGCAGGAGAATGGCATGAACCCGGGAGGTGGAGCTTGCAGTGAACTGAGATGGCGCCACCATACTTCAGCCTGGGCAACAGAGCGAGACTCTATCTCAAAAAAAAAAAAAAAAAAAAAAAAAAGAACATATATGAACTAAGTACAAGATAATTAAGTATAGGGACACATCTGTATGGAAGGGATTCATTCATGTTGAAGAATGATTTCTTTATAAATTTGCTCTAATGAGCAATGCTTGAAGTTTCTGAAAGTTTATTATTTATTTACTTGTTCTGTCCCACAACCATGTACAGGGGATTAGGGTAGTTGAGTTGGGCTAGATGAGGGTGACTGCTGGCCCTCAAGAAGCTTTCTGCCTAGTATTATTTATTTAACATTTTACCTTTGATTTATCAATTAGAATCTAGGTTCCAGCTTGTGAATCTTCTGAATCTAAGTTTACACAATTCTAAGATCACCAAATATCTGGAACCTACATCTGAGAGCAAGCAAGTATGAAGTAAAATTCTTAGCTGTGACTATAGCATAATTGAGAATTACTTTGATTTCTCAAAGCAAAAATGAGAGACAGGTGGAAGTCACTGCTTGAATCTAATTTTTCTAAGAAATCTAAAATGAACGTTTGTAATTCTTCCTTGATAGATTCACTGGTGTGTGTGTGTGTGTGTGTGTGTGTGTGTGTGTGTGTGTGTGTGTATGTTGTGTTTTAAGCTCTTTTTATCCACGATCACTATTCTGCTTGTCTTTGGTCATTAGATGATTCAGACTGAATACCACTGCCTAAAGTTGGACACTTAAAGGATAGTCACTAAGGTAAAATACCTTTTGGACAGATCAAATATTTAAAGGTTTGATATCTTAGCTACCTCTCTTTCTATCAGAGTGGATGTGACTAACATTGGGTAATTTATCGAATGCAGTGTTCACAGACTGTGCATGTGCTCAATGTGGGTGTTTTATATGTACAAATAAGCACTTCTGGAAATGGATTACGGATTTGAGTCAGGGCTTAAAAAATACTGGTGCTTATAAAAATGATAGAATCACATTTGAGAGCTGAGTGGACCAGTTCACCTATTCCATTATTTTCATGTTGCACCTGAGGCCCAGTGAGATCTCTTAGATGTTTCTGATACTGTTTGTTTGCTTTTGATATAGGCAGAAAGCTCAGGGACCACAGTTCATACCAAGAGTGCTTAATATCTGTTGATAAAATGAAAGAAGCAACTCCACAAAGGCTATTAACTACAGTTAATTGTATTTCAGGTTTACTTAATTCACAGAATGCAGAAACATAATTAATTGATTAAAACAGTTGCAAATTCCAAATATTAAATGAATAACAATTTCGTTTGCTGTAAGGTTTCTACTGACTTAGCCAATTGGAACTCATTTCAGATCTCATGAAAAGCATTAGTTTTAACTAATGTCATTTAAAAAAATAAATCTTGATATCAAGCTAAGGTTATCATTTTTCTTCTATTTCCCTGAAATGGATATTAACATTTTACCTCAAAGAGATGGGGTAGAAAGACTGTTTTTGACTTATTTCACTGATTGATATGCTTGGCTCATTTGTGACAACACTTCATCAGACATTTTTATAATTTATTACTACTACCAAGAATGCAGCGAACATTTCTTAATGCATACTGTGTGCCAAACACACAGTTAAGTCATAAATGGGTTTCTGACTACTTCTTTTTTTTTCTGACTTCTTAACACCAGTTCTGTGAGATAGGGACTGTTATTTTCTTCCATTTCTCAGATTAATAAAGTGAGACACAGAGAGGTTAAATATTAATAACTTGCCCAGAAATATGGTAAATCAAACATACACATTTATTGCCTTCTTTACACTCAACTAAAATGATAGTAAAGGAATAAAAAATACAGATTCATAAGGGCAAAGAGAGTAGGAGAGAGGCAATCACCATTAATAACATTTTAGAAGCTCAAAAACTGATGGACAATTACTAAGTGAATTAACAGACTGAAGAAATCTCAGGTCAGGTCTTCATTTCCCCTTAGTTCCCAGATTCTTGGTGTACATGCTTATACCACCCTCCACTCCCCGCCCCAAAGCAGGAGGCTAGAGGATTCTCTCTAGGGGAAATGACTAGTCCAAGAGAAAATAACTACAGATATGACATTTAAGGATCAGGGGATCTGCCAGTGAAAATGCTGGACTTGCCTCTTTTCAGCCTATAGAGAAGCCCACATTCAATAGTCTCTACCCTGCCCTCCAGCTTTCCAATTAGTTTTTTAGTGCTTTAGTTTTAAATAGGAATGAATAGCTAATGAACACCAGACAGTAAAGGAAGCTTCTAACCTAAAGAGAATAAAATAAGCAAACAAAAGAAAGAGGAAACAAAAACAGTGTGGGAATCAGAAGAAAATTTTCTAAAATCTCTAATTAATGCCGTGCAGAGTTAAAAAATATATCTACGAAACAAGATCATATAAAGAATCATTATCTATATTCAGAGAACATGCTCTTTTTTGGTGGGGAGGGAGCAGAGAACAAACTCTTGGAAATGAGAACTATGACAACAGAAATTAACCATTCAAAAGAAGGTTTTTAAAAAGTTTAAGAAATCTCTTAGAAAGTAGTGCAGACAGAGGATAAACAGGAAATAGAGGGGAAAAAAAGATAAGAAAATCAGAAGATCAATTTAGAAGTACCAACACTCAATTAATAAGAATACTGCAAAGGAGAAACAGAGAAAATGGAGGGAAAGAAATTATCAAAGGAAAAAAAAATCCAGATTAAAAGGGCAAATAGGGTGTTCAGGACAATGTAAGAAAAAAGATCCAAAAGAAGGCATGTAGTCATGAAATGTGAGTCCAATGTGGATGAGGAAAAAGTCTTAAAAGCTTTCAGAGAAAGAAAAAATAATATACTGAGATAAGTGTGCTCAAACACAGCAACACAGCAAACATATAACCCTTTTATAGCTCTGGAAGGGTTTGGGGCTGTATAATGAGATATATAGAAAACTAACTCAATGGGAAAAATGAGGCAATCATTAACTCTAGGAAAAACAAAAAGATGTGTAAGAAAGGAAACATAATCATGGTATATTATAAGGCTCAACTGAGAATAATCTTATATAATATTGATAATTACGTAAATATTAAAAAGTAGTTGAATCAAAATTATGTGGGAGGAATAGGAGAAAAGAGTGAGTGAAAAGAGGAACAGGAGAGAAATTGTGTGTGTGTTATGGGGATGGCAGTGGGTTAGAAAGCTAAATCTTCATCTTCCTTAATAGGAAGTCAATGGATAATACTTAAAATGGAAAAAAAATCCATAAAAAGCAGTCTAAACATGTTATTTAGAAACACAGAGTTAAAAAACAGATTAAACAGTTAAGTTAAGAATTATTGTTATGGGCAGGGCACAGTGGCTCACACCTGTAATCCCAGCACTTTGGGAGGCCAAGGCAGGGGGATCACTTGATGCCGGGAGTTTGAGACCAGCCTGGCCAACATGGTAAAACCTAGTCTCTACGAAAAATACAAAAAAATTAGCCGGGGCATGGTGGCACATGCCTGTAATCCCAGCTACTCGGGAGGCTGAGGCACGAAAATTGCTTGAACTCAGGAGGCGGAGGTTACAGTGGGCTGAGATTGTACCACTGCACTCCAGCCTGGTGGCAGAGCAAGATTATGTCTCAAAAAAAAAATATGTGTGTGTGTGTGTGTGTGTGTATGTGTGTGTGTGTGTGTATATATATATATAAACTTTCAGGAATAATATATATTATATATATAATATATATAACAGGGATAATATATATGTGTGTATATATACACACATATATATACATATATAATGTAATAATATATATATTGTTATGGGGAGTAGACATTAAGGATGGGATAGAGCAGAGGACTATAATTTTCCTATAAGCTTATGGTATTAAAAATTTTTTAAATTATGTACTTTTAAAAATTATGTACATGTATTACTTTGAAAAGGAATTAAATTTAAATTTCAAAAATAACTTCCCCAAAGTCACACAGCCATACAGTGGTGAGGCAACCATCTGAATGTGGGCAACCTAATTCCAGCGCCCATGCTTTCAGCCAGTATACTACCTCTCCTTGTGCTGATAATACACAAAAATAATGGCCCCTATTGAAGATCAGGCATTGGTGGTTAACTGCATAAAGGTGGCATGAACAAGTCTTCTTTATTCTCTAACAATATCAGGTGCCAGTCAAGAGAGAGGCAGACAGCAGGACAACGTAGCAAAGACTGCTTGCTGAAAATGTTATCAGAGGAAACATTAAAGTTTTGTATTTTGAACAGTTTAAAGGGTGAGAAACATTAAACTTTTGTATTTTGAACAGTTTAAAGGGTTCAAGACAACAGTTTGTTTTTAGGGAAGTATTTAAAGGTTCAGTTGGTCAAATATGAACCCAAAAAATAAAGTAAATAAGTAAAAAATAAAGAGGTTCAGGTGATACGATTTGATTGGCTAGAAGAATGCAAAACACTTCATGGAAGGGTAGAGTCTACAGTGACCTGGCATTTCTGAATTTCTTCTCTAACGCTGCCAGTCAAAGGAGATTTTAGATCCTGCCATTTGACAAGTGAGATAAATTCAATACTGTCTCAATCAAGAACTGTGCTTCCCATCTCTCCACTATTACCTGCTCATTCACAATTTCTGTTGGTGGCCAAGATGCTAGCTGTGGCGTGGGGCTTGTGAGGATGGAGATGACAGCTCCTTTTAGGCAGTACCAAAAAAGCTTTTGTTGCAAGGTGATCCACAAAGATCACTCCCATATCACTGACATAAGCAGAATGATTACCATTTCCACCTGCCATGCACACATCCTCTGGGTGCCCCACAGAGGCTTGCTGCCCTGAAAGTTTTATGTGATGCTGCTGGGAGGTGGGGAGAAAAGGGGCAAAGAAAATGAAGTTAACATGAGGAGTGGATTCAAAGATTCCATCTCTAAGTGTTCACAAGTAAAATCCTTTAAAAGATTTTCAATATTTAGAGAAAAAGAACAATGTCAACTTTTTGAACACATTTATGTCAAATAATAGTATTTGGAATGCCTCTGCCTGGTGCCTAGAAATTTAACCGTAGGAAAATGAAGGCTTCAGTTTAAATGCTTAATTGTTGCTTTTTTATAGCCACCATAAGAGTTTTATAAATTAACTTATTTTTGTCCTTTGAAGGGAACATTTAAAAATATCTAGGAGAGAGCCCATCTCAACAGGCTAACATATTGGCATGGATTAAGTGACAAGCGGAGAGAAAAATAAAAAGCAACAGACAAAAAGACACAACATGATACTGGATAGGGCAGGATTTTTTTCACTTAATATATCTTAGAAATCTCTGCATGTCAAGACACATAGGTCTACCATGTTCTTTTAATGGCTACATGGTATTCTATTTTATGTATGCATCAACTTATTTAACCAATCCCCTACTGACGAACGTTCAAGTTTCTTCCAACAATCTCAGTTATAAACACAGTAGCAATTAAAATCCTTACACATATATTTTTTGCTCACTTTCCTAATTACAGCTTTAGGTTAAATCTACTTGGAGATTTACAAAACTCTAGAGACCCTCTTTCAAGGAAGCAAAAGGTAAAGTTCTCCCCTGCTACGATTAAAAGACTGAAACAAATTCTGACTGCTGAGGCTACTGGTTCCACCAAACTGAACAATGAAGAATCCCTATTTTAGCTAATAAGAGATGCTAATTATTATTTCTTTCAGAGATGGTTCCTGGCTTACTAGGGTTAAGTATGCAAAATATAAAAAAGATCTGTAATTATCCTTTAAAAGTACATGCGAGTTCTGTAGATTTGGGCTCACAAAGGTGGAGCACTGGTAGACTGGTGTGGATTTTTGCCACTCAGATAAAGTATGAACAAGCTTTTTTGCCCCTGGACTGAGCTGTAGTTCTTTCTCTGATCTATCTAGGCCTTTTCTGAACTCCCCGCTACTGTATCTAGGCCTTTTCTGAACTCCCCGCTACTGAACTATGCAAATAAAAGGAAGCTACAAGGACCCACTGGAGAGAGAGCAAGGAAGAGAAGGCCTGTTTTAAATACAAAAGGTTCTCTGTTTACAAACTTTCAATAAGACAAAACTTTGTGTGCTACCAGTCACTGGTGTTGCACAGTGTCATTCTGGACAGAAGCACAGAGATGAAGAATGCTTAATATCAATCTTCAACAAACTGTTCTGGAAAACAGAATAGATAATAATGTAACCACAGCAGTCTGGTTCAACTTCTATGTAACAAAGTTGTGAGCTGTTTTTCATTTGCCATGGATCCACAGGTTAAAGGTCACATAACCTAAGCATGCCCAGATGAACCAGGTATGCAACCACAGGCAGAACCTAAGTGCCTGGATTGAGGCGAGTGGATGGAATTTAGAAATGGATACCACATGGCAGGATCCAGGATCCAATCAGATCGAGCTCTGGCATCACCGCATCGCAGGATCCAGTCAGATCATGCCTCTCATATCAATTCGTTGCAAAATCCAATCAGATTATGCCTCATTACCCTATGCTTATAAAACCTGACCCAGCCCTTCGCTCGGAGACACTGCTTTGGGAACTATCTCCAGTGTTCTCCTTACTTGTTACAGGTAATAAAACCCCCTTGCTAAATACTCCTTGGCTGTGGTCATTGGGGTGGTACCTGTCAAGTGACCAAACCCACTTGTGTGGGTAACAACAACAAGAAGATAGTTCATGAGCCCGGTGTAACCTTGTACTCAAATCAGATGAGGATTTTATAAAAAGGAAAATTATATGCCATTTTTCACTTATGAACACAGATATAAAAATACTAACTACAGTATTTATAAACTGAATCCAATATTAAAAAGCATACCATATCAAGCACATGAGCAAATGGGGTTTATCTCATAAATAAAAGGGTAATTTAATATTACAAAATATATTAATATGACTTGTCCCATTAGTAGATAAGGAACAAAAAGCATATGAGTGTCTTAATAAATACAGAAAGAACATTTGATATAATTCAATATTCATTACAAAACTTAAACATGATAAAATGTTTCTATCAATTCTTTTTTTTTTTTTTTTTTTTTTTTTTAACAGACAGGGTCTTACCCTGTTGCCCACCCTGGAGTGCAATGATGTGATCATAGCTCACTGCAGCTTCAAACTCCTGGGCTCAAGTGATCCTTTTGCCTCAGTCTCCTGTGTATCTGGGACTATAGGCATGTGCCACCATGTCCAGCTAATTTTTAAATTTTTTTGTAGAGATGGGGTCTCACTATGTTGCCCAGGCTGGCCTTGAACTCCCGGGCTCAAGTGATCCTCTCATCTCAGCCTCCTGAGTAGCTGAGACTACAGGCCTGGGACTACAGGTGTGCACCACCACACCCATTACAGAGTGTTATACCATGTTCATGGATAAAAATGACTTACATGTTTAAAGATGTCAGTTGTTCCTGAAGTAAATATAAATTCAATGTATATCCAATAAATATAAAGCAGATTTTTTGTTTCTGGAACTAAAATTCTTATGAAAGAGTGATGTTAAAATTCACATGAAAACGTGAAGGGACAAGAACAGACAAGGAAAATTTGAAGAACTCTATGGGAACAGGGCTTCCCTACTAGATACCAGGACAGATTAAAGTTACAATGGTTAAGACAACAGGATATTAGAGAAGCCCATGGAATAGAAGAGAGCGCAGAACAAACCTATGCAATTTGATTACGTAAAAACTAAACAACAACAAAAACAACTTCCATTTAACAAGACAGAGCAAATAGTGTCTTTGGGAAAAGACTTTGTGAACCTATCTTATTTAAAAATAAAGTTGCTTCTAAACTAATAACATTAAGGTCAAGCTACTCAATAGTAGAAATGATTATACAAAAGTAGTGGCTTTTGGTGGTTGAAATACAGATGCTGGCATCAGGCTTATCGGGTGTGTGTCCTGGTTCTGTTACCTAATTGTTGTGTAACTCTGATGAGCAAGTTATTCTGCTTCAGTTTCCCTGTTTGTCAAATGGAGACAAATACTGTGGCATTGTGGGGATTAAATCAATTAACAACTGTAAAGTGCCCTGGTATAGCGATGATGCATTTGTTATTAGGGTTCAAGTGTCATTAAGGATTGTTACTGTTATCACTGCATCACTACTGTTACCTTATGTTTACATAACACTTTACAAATTTTCAACCATTTTTCATCTCTGCCATCTCATTCTACCATCAAAGCACCTACATGGATAGATAAGGAAGGTTCCAGCTTACAGTTACCTTGAGCCTGGTTTTTCAACTATAAAATGAGAGGATAATCGCCAAGGCTCCTTTTGGCTCTAAAAACTCATTTCTATTTTACAGGAAAGAAATTTGAGGCAAAGAGATATTAACTGACTTGCCTTAGGTCATAGACAAGTTACTAGCAGTTAGGATTAAAACCTAGGTCTCCCAGATTAATTTGCATTTCAAAGATAGAATAATAATAATTTCCCCAGACTCTCCCTGTATCTAAATTTCTTCTTGGAATTGTAAGCAGATACTTAGGAAAGTAATTCACTTGGGGACCATTTACAATATTACAGATACATTCCAATGACTAGAAGCACCTAACTCATTACTAGGGAGAGAGGGAGTGGAAAGATCTATCTTTTGTGAACAACATTAACATGGGTGATGGTAATACCAGTAATAATAAAGGAGAAAGAATTACCTGGGCAAGCAGACCTGGTTGGATCTGAAGAGGCTGAGCTCCTGGAGCTTGAGTGACGATGGGAACTGCATTTTCCATTCGCACCGAGTAGCCAGCGTGCTTAGAGGGAGAGGCCTGCAAGCCTGTTCCAGACAGTGTGAGGGAGAGAAGGGTTAGCTGAGAGGCTGTGAACTGCTGGATGAAGAAAACCTTCCTAGCCAGCTACGTCATCTTTCAGCTTCCCTTTGCACTGGTCACCGACAATAACCAGGTATTGCCTGGTCCTTGGGAAGTCTCCCCTTAGCTTCTAACGAATTAAAAAACAAAACTCCTCCTGACATCTTGAATGTTTTCAAAGGCTAGAAGGTCAAATTAAGGAGGCTGTGAGGCCAAAAGTAGGACAGTTATGCTGACAGATTACAACAGGAAAACAAGGACTTCTGACCATCAAGATGTACTTGTGTATGTCAAAATAAAGGGTGTTGGGGAGACGTATGAACCCATTTGGAATTGCATTGACTATAACCACACAGTTTACACCATGAGGCTTGCAAAAATAAATTCTTAAGCTTTCTGGGTAAATTGTAACAAAGTGCACAGTCTAGCTTCTTAGAGTCTACAGAAGAGAAGTGCTGGGGTCATGGCCAAAGAATCGTTTTGAGGAGGGGTTCCAGGGAAGTACTTT